CCTCGAACGCCAGCCGCAATTTCGCGCCGAACCCGCCCCCCAACTCCATCGCGACAACGCGGATGCGCGACACGGGAATCTCCAGCACCGATGCGAGGCCAGCGCGAATCTGGTACGGCCCCTGGGTGGAGGCATAGATGACCAAGCGGCCGTTGGGTTCCACGTCGGCGACGCAGGCCATTGGTTCCAGGAAGCCCTGATTGATCCCTTGTGAGCGGTACACGTCCTCGACAACCACGTCGGCATCTTTGAAGGCTTGATCAACATCGCCGCGATCTGCGTCCAGCAACGTGCTGACGTTGTGGCCCATGGTGAAGCCGTAGCCCTCGTACTCTTCCAGATGGGGATGCACCGTGGACGCGCCCGGTTCCATGGATACCAAGGGATTTACGACTACCGGCAAATCCTCGTACTGAACTTCGATGAGGTCGATTGCTTCCTGAGCAGTCGCTTCGTCATTCGCCGCTACCGCCGCGATGGGCTCGCCGATGAAATTCACCGTATCGCGCGGCATCACGTAGCGTCGCGCAAGGCTCCGGAGCCGAAACGCACTTCCGGGAAATCGGTGCCCACAATCACAGCCCGCACTCCGGGCAACGCGCGGCTTTGCTGGTGTCGATCGAAACGATACGGGCATGGCTGCGCGTGCTGGGCAACAGTTTGCAGGCCAGCGTACCGGGCAGGTACACATCGGAGGCGTAGGTCGCTCGGCCGGTTACCTTGTCATACGCGTCGACTCGGGGGTAGTTTCGTCCCAGGACTTTAAACTCGGTCATTTCAAGCGCCTCCGTTTTGGGCGGTTGGAAGGTTTTTCTCGGTTGCGAACCTATCCGGCATTACTCATCTCTTCGGCGGCGGCCATCACTGCTTCCACCACGCGGGAGTAGCCGGTGCAGCGGCACAAGTTGCCGCCGATGGCAAAGCGCACGTCCTCTTCGGTCGGGTTCGCGTTGGACTGCAAGAATCCGGTGGCCGACATTATCAGCCCCGGAATGCAGAACCCGCACTGCAGCCCGCCGTGTTCGACAAACGCCTTCTGCACCGGACTCAAACCGTCGACGGTAGCCAACCCTTCAATCGTGGTGATGTCGGCATCGTGGGCGCTGTGGGCGAGGACGAGGCAGGAAGTTACCGGTTGCCCGTCCATCAGCACCGTGCAGGCGCCGCAGTCCCCTTCGTCGCAACCCTTTTTGGCGCCGGTCAACTGCGCTTCGTCGCGCAAGCAGTCCAACAGCGAGTAAAACGGCTCCACCAACAATTGGCGGTTTTCACCATTCACATGGAGCGTCAGAGCTTGTTTCATCATGCCACCTTCAGTTCTATTTACCGGGTTTCTCTATAGAGAGGATTGTACCGCGAGACGCCGCAATTCGACGAACGACGGAGCATCGATCGACGCAGTCTGAGCAGCATATTGTAGGGTTCGTTGGGTCAGCACACGCACCATGTCCTTGCGATATTCAGCGCTGCTACGCACGTCGGTTATAGATTGGTGGCTTCGCTGGCGATGCGCGCCGACTCAGCGATGTTGCCGGCATCCGGCGCCTGACCCACCAGCCGTCCCTCGGCGGCGGCGGCACGCATTGGCGTAGGCGCGACGGATCCCAGGCCGATGCGGACGACGGCGCAGGTGGCGTCGTCGGCCAGGCTCACCACCGATGCCACGCCGACGGCGGAGATATCCATGGCTCCGCGGGGGCTATGCTTTATGTAAAGGCCACCCGAGTTTGGCGCCGGCGTCGGCAACCTCAACTCGGTCAGTATCTCGCCGGGTTGCAACGCCGTGCGGCCCGGGCCGAGGAAGAATTCGTCGATGGGCAGCCACCGCTCACCACCCGGACCGACAATTCGACACTGGGCGTCGTACGAAAGGAGGGCCGGCAGGGTATCTCCGGCGGGGGAAGCGTTACAGGCATTGCCGCCGATGGTAGCCAGATTGCGTACCTGCACCCCGGCAAAAGCGGTTGCTCCCGCCGCCAGAGCAGGGTAACGCTGGCGAACGATGGGGTGCTGCTCAATAGCCTGCACCGTGGCCATCGACCCCAACGACAAGCCGTCAGCTTCGTTCCAGTCGATGTCGCCCAGCCCGGGTACGTGCTGCATGCACACGACTTTTTCTGGCAGCCAAAAACCGGTGCGAAAGCGAACCAGGAAATCGGTACTCCCTGCTACCAGTCGGGTTCCCTCACCACCATCGGCGAGCATTTGCAACGCCTCTTCCAGCGAACGCGGCTCCAGATAATCGAATCGAGCCATAGAACCCTCCAGGTGAATTTCGATTGAGTTTGACGCCAGAGACCACCAGGTCACCGACGCGATAGTCTATCGGGATTATATGGGCCGGTTCAATGTCAGGTCAACGAACCTGAGTATTCATGCTGGCCGTGCCATTGCGTCGCAGGTTCCACACCGGGGGTCGCCCGCCTCGCGGACGATGTGGAAGCGCAAAATGTAGCGGCTCCCCACCATCAGTTGGGGAGCCGCCCTGGTCAGAGTCGAGATTCAGAATCAGTGGTTGCCGTTTGCGTATGGCTGGATGAGCACCCGCAGTGTGCCATCATTTTCCTTGCGTTGGGTGAGCAGCCGGTGGCCGGCCTGCTCGGCCCAATACACGACGTCGTAGATATTCAAGGCGTCATGCAGGATGGCCTCAATGAACGACGTTCGGTCGTATTCCATTTTGACGGCTCAGCGCTGCGATGACTCCCGCGCAGTTCTTGCCTCGCCCATCAACGATAGTCCAACCGGTGTCGCCGTTGCCATTGCCCTTCCCGTTGCCGGTCGTTTTCACGGGAGCGCGTACGTCAATCTGGCCGGTCTTGCGGAGTTCCAGCTGCTCCTTGAAGTAGGCCACCGCTTCCCAGGCAACGGCCCGGTCGCGTTCGCCACTGGAGCATACCGCCCCACGCACACCAACAATGTCCGGATTGATGCGGGCAAGTTCGTCCAGGTTTTCCAGCTTCAGGTGCCCACTCAACGCCGTGCTCAATCCCACCTGTTTGGCTTCCATTACCATGTCGCGGAGCACCGGCTCGGGCATAAAGTCGAACAGGTTGCGACCGTCCTTGGTCAGAGTGTCAATCAGGAATCCGTCGCACTGTCCCTCCCTGGCCAGCTTCACCATCAGATGGGGGTCAAGCCCGCCCTCAAACAGTACGTTGTCGGCGAACAGGGAGCCAATCAGCTTGGTCTCCGAATTACCCAGCGCCTCCCGCGCTTCTCGCAGTACCTGCAGGGCGGTGTCATATTCAGCCACCTGGAACCCCACCTTTACCGAGGTGGCATCGAGCAACGCAGCGGCGTGCACCGCCATGGCCACAGTCCCGGGCTGGTTGGGCACTACGCCCAGTGTGACGCTGACGTGTTTGTGCATGGGAATCCGCTGACGCACTTCTCGCACCAGGTTCGGATGTCCCGAGCCAACCAACGCTTCTTGGAGGTTCTTGACATCGATGATGTCGGCTCCTCCCCGGTCGGCTTCCAACGCCTCGGGCATATCCTGCACGCTAACCAGCAGCATCATCCCGGAATCGGGTGAATCGCCGTTCGTGCTTTTTGCTCGGGCACCGGTCAGCCAAGGAGCGTGGGCACGGCCATGAATCACTTCGCGGCCGGACGAGGCAGCAGTTATGGGGCGCGGCAGCAGAGGTTCCAACTCGCGCCACAGCTCGGCCTTTTCCTCCGCGGTGAGGTCGGTTAGCGGCGCACGGACGCTGCCGCCAGCCATACCCATCATCTCGCCCCAGGCTTTGCACATGGATACGGGGAGCGCGCCACCGGTCTTTTTCATGGTGCCGCCCCACCACTTGTCGGACAACGCCTTGATGTCCTTTAGGTATCGGTCGTAGTACTCCATGTCGAGATTGCCAGCCGTGGCCTTGTCAATGAACTGGGTGTAAGGATTGTGCTCCGGCGTGTCGAACCGCCAGTCGGAGGTGTTGGCGAACATCACCTGTTGTTGGAAGCCCAACTGCTGGGCCTTGTGGAATATCCACTCGTCAGGGGTGCTGATGATGGCGTCCCGCCCGACCAGCAGGTGGGTTTCAATGGATATTTGCTGGTTGAAACTCGCCTCTTTGACCCCGACCAGATTGGGAATGGCGCACAAACGCTTCAATCCCTGAGGGCTGATGGTGATGCCAAACTGTGGTGAGTTGTAGAACATCATCGCCAGATCGGTGGAATCGGCCACCTGGCGTACGAATTCCACCACCTGATCCTCAGTTTTGGTGACCATGTATGATGGCGCGATTATCAGCAGGTCGAAGCCACGGTTCTGGGCGTGCTGGGCCAGAGCGATGCTCTCCCGCAGGGAGGTGTCGGTCACGTGAGCGCCGATCAGCCAACGTCCGGCAGCTTCGTCGGCTACGGTGTCCATAACCAGGCGCCGTTCGGCTTCGTCGAGGCTCCAGAATTCGCCCATATTCCAGGTGCAACCGCCGCCCGATACGCCCAGGCTACGCACATGGCGGATGTTGTGGCGCAGACCCGCTGCTATCACCTGGTTATCAGGCGTGAATGGAGTTACCAGAGTCGTCCATTGGCCCTTCAAGGTCTGCCAGGCCCAATCCTGGGCCTCGTGCTTGCGGTAACTGGCCATGATTAGTCAGCCTCCAACTTGATTGTCATCCTGATTTTACCGGGAAGTTTTCGCATCAACTGCCCGGCAACGGCGCGTGTCCGTTAACGTGCGATAGTTTACGAGGCAGCCAGTTTTCCGTCAACAATCTACGTTTTGCTAGCAACGTCTTGCTGGCAACGTTTTGCCGGCGTTGTAACTATCGGCGAATCCGGCGCTATTCCGGTCATGCCGGGGGTTGGCAGCAGGGGCAAAACCAGCTGCTGCGGCCTCTGACCCGCAGTAGCTGCACTCGGTTTCGCAACTTGGGCAGATGCACCTTGGACCGTGGTATCGTCCACGGCGACAGGGCGGTGGGTGGGTCAGGCCACTGGGCATCGCTGGCTCTGTGCGTAGGCGGCCACCGATCGTCGCAGGGCCTTTACGATGGATTCGTGCAAACGGGTTGACTCGGCCAGGTCCAGACTGCCCGCCATCCGTTCGGGATGATCGACAGAAACAACGCTTCATCGGCGTACAGGTTGCCCAGACCCGCCACGACAGATTGCTCCAGCAGCAACGCTTTGATGGGCGCTTTGCGGTTTCCCAGCGTCGCCGTCAGGGCCTCACGGGTGAAGCATGGTTCCAAAGGTTCCGGCCCCATTTTGGACATGGCATCTGCCGGGTCGCTCAACAGCCACAGATGTCCGAATTTCCGCGGGTCGCCGAATCTTAGTTGCCGGCCATCGTCCAGCGGGAAGGTGTGCCGCACCATCGGACCTACCGGCACATCTGCGTTTCTGATGCGGAGGCTCCCCGTCATGCCCAGGTGCAGCACGAGATGGTTGCCGTCGTCCAGTGGCGCGATGAGGTACTTGCCCCGCCGACGCACATCCTCTACCCGCCGGCCAACCACTCCCTCGATAAACTCGCCGACCGAGGGCTGGCGCACAGTCCTGGGCCACGTTATGTCAGGTGACCCAGACACGGCCGACAAACCCCGCCCGCAACAGATACTGGCGCGTGTTTTCGACCTCGGGCAGCTCGGGCATCGTGGATCTCAGGCGGCATCAGTTCCGTTGACTCGGCGCTGGCATTTGATGGCCGGCGCTTCAGGAACGACTCGGCGTACCCCAGCGTAACTTCCATGCCCTCAATTCGCTGGGTTTCTGAACTGGCGTCATCGTCGGGAGCCTGGGCCAACAGCGCTTCGCTGAGGGTTTCCTGCATGATGTAATCCTGGTGCCCGGTCATTACCCGCATCACATCGTCAGGACCTTCGTAGAAGGTGATGATACGGTCGGTGATTTCGTAGCGGGCGCCCTTGCGCAGGTTCTGGATGCGATGCGCCAGTTCGCGTGCCAGTCCTTCGTCGGCCAATTCGGGTGTCAAACGGGTGTCGATGGCGACCATGTACCCGGCCTCCAGACTGCCGAATATCCGTCTAATAACACGATGGCCTCGGCTCGTCGCCGGCGGCCCCTTGCGCGCTGGCGTAGAGTCTGGTTGCAAGGCGGCCGGCTGCAACTCCTTGATGTTCAGCTCCTCAAGAATCTGGGACCGCACCCAGTCCAGGTATTCGTTCTCTTCTGGCGTGCGGGTGTGCACCACCACTGATGCCAGCGGCTGCCGCACTTTGATACCGGCCTTGCTGCGAGCTGCGCGGCCCATGCTGGCGACGCGCTGCGCCAGTCTGGTGGCATCCATGAGGGGACGATCGATTAGCGATTCGTTGGCGATCGGGTAGGAGGCCAGGTGCACACTATCCGGAGCCTCGGGGTCGTAGCGCAGTTCCAGGTTGCGGTACATCTGCTCCGCCACGAAGGGAGCCAGGGGCGCCATCAGCTTGGCCACGGTGGTTAGGCAGTTGTACAGCGTTGAGTAGGCGCCGAGCTTGTCGGTGTCGCTTTCGCTCTTCCAGAACCGGCGCCGAGATCGACGGACGTACCAGTTGGACAGCACGTCGATAAATTCCTGGATCCGGCGACCGGCATCGGTGGGATTGTATTTGTCCAGGTGATCGTCAACCTGCTGCACCAGCAGATTCAACTCCGACAGTATCCAGCGATCAAGTTCAACTTCCGGCTGCCAGTTGGCTGTAATCTGGTCGGGTTCAAACTGATCGATGTTGGCGTAATTGGTGAAGAACGAATACACGTTCCAGAGGGTCAGCAACACCCGCCGTAGCGTCTCATTGACCAGTTTGTCGGAGAATCTCCGGGACTCACCGGGATGTGATGCGGTGAACAGGTACCAGCGGAGGGCGTCGGCGCCCGTGGGCGTCAAGGACGCTCATGGGGTCAACGACGTTGCCGAGCCGTTTGCTCATCTTTCGCCCGCGGCCGTCCAGGATCAGGCCGAGGCAGATTACGTTGCGGTAGGCCACATCATCATTTAATAATGTCGACAGGGCGTGCAGGCTGTAGAACCAGCCTCGAGTCTGGTCGACGGCCTCGCAGATGTAATCGGCCGGCAACCGCCCGTCGTGGTCGATTTCGATGTTTTCAAACGGATAGTGCCATTGGGCGTAAGGCATCATGCCCGAATCGAACCAGGCATCCATGACTTCAGGAATGCGCCGCATGGTGCCGTGGCAGTTATCGCTGGCGCACCGCCAGGTTATGTCGTCAACGTAAGGGCGATGCAGATCGATGTCGGCGGCTGCTGCACACGACAGAGCGACCAAATCGGCTACGCTGCCCACGCAAGTTGTCGAAATAGGTGTCGCACTGCCACACCGGATCGGAGTACCCCAGTAACGCTCGCGGGAGATTGCCCAATCCACGTTATTGCGCAACCACTCGCCGAAACGACCCTCGCGAATGTGGTCGGGGTACCAGTTGATGTCGCTATTGGCAGACACCAGCCTGTCCTTAACCGCGGTCGTGCGGATGTACCAGGATGTCTTGGCGTAGTAGAGCAACGGGGTGTCGCAACGCCAGCAGAACGGATAAGTGTGTCGGTATATGCCCTGATGATAGAGCAGATTTCGCTCGGTCAATTCTTCGCAGATATCGGGGTCAGCGTCTTTCACAAATTTGCCAGCAAAGGGGTAATTTGCCGGTGATGATGCCCTGGAGGTCCACCGGCTGAACGAAGGCCAGCTCTTCCTCGCGGCCGAGTCCCAGGTCCTCGTCACCGAATGCCGGCGCGATGTGGACGATACCGGTGCCATCGTCCATGCTGACGAAATCCGCAGCGACTACGTGGGGCGCGTAGGATTCGGTATCCTCCAGCTCTACGATCGTGGCACCGCTCGCGCTGGTTTTGCGCACAAATTGACTGATCGGCGCGCCGAATTCCACTGCGTCGTATAGCGGTCGGTAAGTCAGACCCACCAACTGGCTGCCGGCAACGGCGCCTACCGGATTGCACTCGTGCTGCAATACTTCCAGGCGGTCGGTGGCCAGCACGAGGTGGACCGGCGAGCCGTGTTCGCCAATCATCTCAACGATGGAATATTCGGCATCGCTGCTCACCGCCAAAGCGGTGTTGCCGGGCAGCGTCCACGGCGTCGTTGTCCAGGCCAGCAGATACGTCGGCACTTCCGGCGCTGCGCCGTCCAACCAGGGTGGTCGCTTCAAACTTGATGAACACTGACGGATCTGGTGTGTTTTCGCGGTATCCCAACGCCACTTCGTGGGACGACAGGCTGGAAACGCAGCGCGGGCAGTGCGGCGTCCCGCGGCGGTCCTGGTAGAGCAGGCCGCGATCCCAAAACTGTTTCAGTATCCACCATCCGGTCTCGATGTAATCATTCTCCAGGGTTACGTAAGGGTCGTCCATGTCAACCCAGTAACCGATCCGATCGGTCATCACTTCCCAGTCTTTCACGTAGCGGAAAACGCTTTCACGGCAACGCTGATTGAACTCGGCTATCCCGTACTCCTCAATCTCCCGCTTCGAGGTGAAACCCAGCTCTTTTTCAATTTCCAGTTCCACCGGCAAACCGTGGGTGTCCCAACCGCCCTTGCGAATGACTCGATAACCCTTCATGGTGCGGTAACGCGAAATTACGTCCTTGAAGATGCGGGCCAGGCATGGTGGATACCCGGGCTGCGGTTGGCGGTGGGTGGGCCTTCGTACATCATGAACAGCGGAGCATCGGGGCGGTCGTCCACCGAACGGCGGAAAACATCCCGTTCTTTCCAATATGCGAGCGTCCCGGAATCTAGTTCAGGAAAGCTGACCCGGCTGGAAACCACATCAAACATGGCCGGCATACCTCTTTAGATTGGTAAATTTTCAGGGTTGTCTATCGACAATGTCCGCCCCTTGAATTTAGCGGACCTTCAGCGTGAAGTTTCACCGACACAGCACTCGAAACGCCGAGGTCATTGTGTCCAGAAAGCGTGGAAATGGTGTAGGGGCCCGTGGCCCTTGCCGATGGGATAAGAAGCGCGAATCGCGGCGGTTACATACTCTTTGCAGCCCGCTCAACTGACTGCGGGACCGTGTTTCCGTGAGCCAGAAATGCCGCAACCGCAGAGGCGAAAGTGCATCCGGTGCCGTGGGTGTTGGAGGTGGGGATTCGTTCGGTGGTGACTCCAGAAATTGATTGCCGTCGTAGTACACGTCAGTCGGCGGCCCGTCGCGATGCCCACCTTTGACCACAACAGACTGAGCGCCCATATCGATTATGGCTTGCGCAACCCCCCCCCCACCCGCGCACGTGACGGTGGATTATCGAGAGCGGGTCAAGTCTTCGAGGATGGGGAGGTGGGGCGGGGGATAATAAATCGCTGGGGTGGAGAGGGAGAAAAACGCGAGGGAAGTATAGAACATATGCACGTGATAATCA